GACTCTATAGGCGTGCACGATTATCAGCTGGAAAGAAAAATGGTTTCTCTCATGTCATGTCTTAGCAACGAGAGGCGGAGTAAACAAATAAGCGCGGCGCGACTCAGATTCTTGCGATCGGGCGCTATTCGGCAGTACGCAGCAAGCGGCGAGCGAGGAGTATCGCACCGGTACCCCTCGCTCGCCCCCTGTATAACAGACATATTTCGGACGTGCGCTGTCAAGTCACAGAGAGAACGGTTTCCTTAGATTTAACAAATTTTGTTAAATCCAAACAAATTATTTCATTCGAATAGTCCAACAACCTTGATTTTGAATTAAACATTCCGATTGTTCGAATTTCAAACAAGGTATTTTGTTAAGTTAAATAAATCTAAAACTTCAATAAAAAAAAAACTTTTTCGCGGCTCGCGCCCTCACACAACTTCGAGAGATTTTACTCGAAGTAATCTTTGGAGGCCCGGATTCAGCTTGCCAATCAAACGATGAACTCCATTGAAAGAGACCTGAAAAAAAAATCCCCAAGGTGATAGCGGGATTCGAGAACTCGAGACGCGCCTCCGTCATATATTCGCAACCCCCCTGCTCACAGTCCGCAAAAGATAACTTGTTCCTTGCTAAAATGTGATTATTTTTATATACTTATTCTCAAGCTATCCTGCTACGCATTTAATTTATTATTTCTTTAAATTATGATTTTGTTAAAAATATTGCAGTGCAATGTATCCGCAACAATGGATAAAAATATTTCTCTTATTATTATTAATTATTGATTATTCTTATAATTTAAAGTAGTACATTTTTACAACGCGAAATTTTTTGTCTCAAACAATGCTATGTTTAAATGAAATATATATTTTATGTTATATTTATGTTATACAAAATGATTTTTTTCATTAAATAATGTTTATTAAAACCAAATAAAATATTATTTCGTTGGAATAAATTATTTCAAACATTTGTATTGTTTCCGTCAAATAATTTGATTTATTTTAACGTAACAATCTAATTTTCATTCAACAACATTGTTGTTTGGTATAAAATTATGTTGTTTGAATGCAAACAAATATGAGAGTCAAACAAATCGGATTATTTAAATTTAAAGAAACCGTTCTGTCTTTGTATAAATTTCGTTTGACGAATAATTAATTCGAGCAAAAGATTCTCATCTTATGTAAAATTCTCGAAGATTTTTTCCAATAAGAATAATTCGACCGAAAACGATTTGTGCGAATTTCCATAAATTCTCTAAAATCGAGTGTATATAACAGACATTTCGGACGTGCGCTGTCAAGTCACCGTTATAAATGCATCTCATTTTCGCGAGCGCTGTGTAAGCGCGCGCGGACATATTAAAGGACCTCTTTTCCAGCAATTATTTCCTCGAACTCGTTACCTCCCGTAAGTTTTTGCTCCTGACGGTATAAACTTGGCTATTTGACGATAATGGCAAAATGGCGGGAAACGACGTGGACGTGGAAACAAGCGGGAAATCGATTTATGAATTATTAAGGCGTTGGAAATTATGACGACGACACGAGTAGTAGTAGTAGTAGACCCCCGGTAGAGTAAAGCAAAATACAATTACATCCGTTTACCGGTGCGGGATCGGGAAAATACCGTTACGCGCGTAATTAACGACGCAGATTGCACACGCGCGCGTGCGATATCGTATGTGAAAAACGGACACGCGCGTGATGGTGTTTACA